AAAAAAAATTTGAACTTCTATTTATGTTGCACCCTTTAAAAAATTTTCCTTTCCAAATAATTGATAATGTTCAAAGAGTATAATTTACTTTAAAAATCTCATAGATTAAGGGTAGTCTAATGATTTTCTTAAATGATAGGGAGTATAATCAAAAAGAGTTGCTGAGCACTACCCTATTCTGCCAGTACATGAACAATTACTAAATAATCACTGGTCATTGAAATAATAAACATGCTTGATAGACTAGTTCTGAATAGCTTCATATGATTTATATTACCTCTCACAAGTGTATAATCAAATCCTCTACTAATCGATCGAATTGTCATTTAACATGCTCATTTCTCTAAAAGACATATAACTCCACCAAAGCTCTAGCTAACATATTTCTTGTTTAACAACTAAATATCCCTAAAGGGTAACACCATTCCTAGAGATACTGCAATGCATGGAGCAGACAGATCAAGCTCCTGTTGCATTTTCCTGTTCCAAAAATCAATGTAATATATTGTCCTCAGATAGAGGACATAACAGATATCAAACTGATGAGAACAGATATTATACTCGATCTTAGCCACAAGGTCAAGAATTGATATTACCTGTATCAACTCCTCACCATACCTTCCTGTCACACACTGTCCTCATTCAGATCCACAGACACAGCGTGTAAGCCTGTCTTTACAATCTTCAACATCCTCATCTCCCCAGAGACCAGGCTAATCCTCCCCAGTGTCGTATTTCTCCACCAGCCAGGAAATTCTGTTATCAAATTGGGCTTTTTTCGTCACTGAGGTTACTATTTCCCCCGTTCCCCACAAAGCACTGGTCGTTTGCCTCACCCGCTCCATTAAGCGAAGCAGTGCCTCTTGCTGCCAGGTGGGGGCAGGGTTGCTCCGTGAGCAAACCCGCCAGACGTAAAAGTAGCTCATTTGATGAGTAATCAATGAATTAAGGCTGGGAAAAAAATCATTCAAAATTGTATAGAGATAAACTAATATATATTGAGTTCTACTTTGTGTCATATATTCTGTTAGGCAACAGGGATACAATGATGGTTTACACAGACATGACCTCAGGAAGTTTAAGGTGGGCAGGCAGGTGGAGGAGGCTTGGAGAGGGAGTGGTAGTAAGGAAATTGGCAAAGAAAGCAGGGTTTTAACTTTAGCCTAAAGACTATGGAGGGGCACTGAAGGACTATGAGCTGAGACGTGACACTTGACCAAATTTTTTATTTGGCAGGATGTCTGGCTGCAAGATGAAGAAAGGATGAGAAGGGAGGAAACCAGAATCAGGGAGCCAGGGTAAGACTGCTGTAAACACTTCGGGGTGGACGTGGTTCCATAGTGTGGCGGTGAGCACGTCTGCTTTACACGCAGAAGGTCCTGAGTTTGTGCCTCGGTGTGAGTCACAGTCCATAGTCTACGGCCAGGCCACCCTGAACAAGCCCGATGTCTGATCTCAGAAGCTAAGCAAGATCGGGTCTGGTTAGTACCTGGATGAAAGATCACCTTTGAAGACCAGGTGCTGTAGGCATAAATAATAAAAAAATAAATAAAAACTTCGGCGTGATCTCTAACTGCCAAGAATAGTGGCTTTTTTGGGGGTGGGGGGATATTAGAAAGATTTTTATGTACCAGCCTTGCTAAGGACTATTACCCTGAGAGTAGAGTGTCAAGAAGCCCTTCAGAGAAGGGGGCGGGCGCTCACACGGGCGGAGGAGAAAGCGCAAGTACGTCTGGTGCATTAGACGTTTCAGTTCGGGTTCATACAGTTCAAAGATGAATAGCTTTGCATAAAATGGAAAGAATGTATAGAAAAGGTAGATTGAGGTGCCATACCTCTTGGTGTCAGGTAGTTTTAATTAGGATCTGGAAACAAATTACTTCAAAACTCTTTGATGTGATTTTTTTATTATTATTATTAGGTTGTAGAAAGAGCTGGCATTGTTATCTATAATCACTGATCTTTAGTAGTGTTGAAACTGTAGCGGATATATCATCCCCCATGGTTTGTGCCTTAGTAAGAAAGCTTAGGAAAGGGCAGTGTTCTCTCTTGCTTACTGATTAAGTCAGAGAAGCTGAAACACTGTTTCTTCTCAGTGCTTACCCCTTTCGCCTCCCTTGGTAGCTTCCAAAAAGAGCATCCAGTTTTTGACATTGCCCCTTTCTAGTGGATTCTATGTCACCCCACAGAGATTGCAAACTCACCGTCATGGCCACCTTTGGCTCACGGGCATATTTTGATCGATTCATAGAATGTTCTTAAAATTCGAAGTTAGACACCAACAATTAAAACGAGCAAAGAAACATACAATTCTGGATTTCTGGATTCTCTTGTTCAGATTTTTTACACAGAGACAATACTCTAGCAAAGCAACAGTTGGAGCTAAGAAAGGGCTGCCTAGGTTTGCCAGAGGCCTCACCCAGTTTGTATCACTTATCTACATTACTTACACTTTTGTAGGTATGTGAGTTGGAGACCCCTGACTTAAACCTTTCCCTTCCCATTTGCACTGCCATTACACTTGTTAGTACAGAATCCACTTAACCTGTTGCCTAAACTACTGTGACAATCTAATTAATGTCCAATTTATCACCTCCCTGCTCAAAAGGTTTCACTGGCTTTTTTCTATCTACAGTTCAAATTATTTAGCTTTGCGCACCAGGCCCTCATCTGGTCTTTCCCGGGAAATCATTTCCAGTTTTATATTCTACTTTAACCCACCTTTCCTGAATTATATCCATACACTTCCTTTCTTTTCCAGCTCCAAGCCTGTGCTCAAACTGTTTACTCCAGAAAGCATTTCTAATTCCCATTCCCACATACCATCTCCCTAACCCGGTCTGCCTACTCTAGGATTTCTAGATTTCCCATAGTTTATCTGTTCTATTTTCTACACGTTTTGTTACAACTTTTCAATCATGTACTTGACCTAGAAATAGTTATTGAGTAAATGAATTTATTCCAGTTCATAATAACTTTGTACAAACTGGAATTCTGTCAATATTGTGTATAGTGTCACTTGTTATGTTCCCCTGGGACACATGAAACAATATTGCCCCCAAAGACGTAAAAATTGGTTCTTGGTTGGAGAAGAGGGGGGGGGGGGCAGGAAAATCTTAGATATGAAAAAGTTTTCTGGTTCTCCAAAGGGCCACAGTACTCAAGCAGATATACAGTATATCAGCGGTATTAAAAATTCGTGGGGGGGAGGGATTAGAGGAGGAAATGTCTCTTTAACACTCCTTGGAGGGGGAGACAACAATGAAAAAAGATTGAGGAACAGTACCCAGGGATTTGTTTCCTGTGTATTTGCTTGCTCGCCTATTGCCTTGAGAACAGTGAGTGATGATATCAGTAAAGCGCAATCAGAACGCCTGGCTCCAGACAGAATCGGACTGCCTGGATTTTCACCTTGGCTCTGAAATTTCTTAGCCAGGTAACACCAAGAAGTTACTTAACCTCTCTAGGTGTCAGGTTCCTCATTTATAACATCATCCTAATATCTTCCTCCTTGAGTTGTAGGTTAAGTGACTTCATACAGAATAGCACATACGAAGAGCTTAGTATATGTTTATAAAACTTGCAGGTGCACTAGGTGTTTACCACAAACGACTGATGAACGAATGCCGGCTGGTCTCAGTAACCAGTCTATAGGTGACTGGGACCATCTTGGCAATTAGGCGGGACTTGCAGGTGGCTCTGCAAGAGCTCTTTACACCTGGGCCCCTCATCTACAAAATGGGGGTAGTTATTGTAGAATGAATCGATTCACGTAGTGCGCTTAAAACGGTGCTCCTTATGTTAGCCTTGCTACAAGCCAAGATCCCAGAGAAATCAGACCGGAGAGCCGGACATTAGTGGTAGTCAGGAAAAATCAGACCCTGTCATAAGACTCAGGTGGAGCACCTAGCGCCTGATTCACCTCCCCAAAGGTCTCCATGCAAGGGACCCCCAACTGAGCCCTGCCCAGGCCCGGCCTCAATAAGACGTGCTTGAGCGCTGCCATAAGGCGCATGCGCGCCTTTTTCGCGCCGCCGGGGGCGCGCACTCCGCGCCCGCCTCCTTAGGAAATCTCTACCCACAATTCCCCAGGCTCGCACGCGCTCTCTTCGTACGCGTGCGCCGACCGCAGTCCCTCCCCCAAATCCCGTGGGCCTTTGCGCAGCAGTATTTAAGTGTCTCATTGTGCGCTTTCGGTCTCGTTTGACCGCTGCTTATCGTGAGTTCTTTTTTTCTGGGCCGAAGTATGGGTTGTACCTATTTCATTGGTGGGGGGGTGGGGGAATTTGACCATGGCCTACAGGCCTCGAAGCTGCTGCAGGGCTTTGTAAAGGACAAAATGGCGGTGGCGGGTGGTGCTGGCGGCCTTTGTGATGAGAACCTTCATCACAGACCTGTGCTGAATTTTGTGAGGATAAGAAACTCTGATGAGACTGGCCTTGCACTGCCGATGCAGTCGTTGCTCTGGGAAGCAGCGTTTGCGAAATACCCGGCGCTGACGTAATGTTCTCGTCCGCAGGGTTCAGGCGCAGTTTTGCACGCTAAAGAACCGAAAAAAGCCCTCTTGTTACGGTGAGTGCCTAATACCTTCCATCACCACTACTAATAGTTGAGTGTGTGGAAGTCCTATGGAATGTGCTACGGGGATGATTTTCAGAATTGAACTCTCTCTTTCTGATGGATTAGTGGAGAAAACATAAAAATTCTGAGTAGCACCATGCGCAGCAAATGTTTGGGTTTTTCAGAGGTGTTAAGGCACTAACATGAAATAGGCTGCAAGGTATAAAACTAAGTGAAGGGTGCTCTTTTATTTCAGACGTGCTTCAATTTAAAAGAAATTATAGTTTGGAAGATGGGTCAAGACTTATCCCCGTGGAAATCAAACATTACAGTGATGCTCCAGGTGTGTATACCGTGTTTTATGCAATTATGGGTAGGGGCACAGTGTCTGGATGGGGTGTCAAATTGGGCTGGCCACTCTGTGATGAATATAAAATGACAAGCATATGACTGAACTTAAAAGTGATGTCATCTTATTACTGAGAAGTGGGCCAAGAGTACTCAAGGGTCTTCAAATCGTTATCAGCAGGTACATAAAATGCCTCTTTTCTGTCTCTAGCATCTTATCACCAATCCTGAGGAATTCGGCTGCCTCCCAGGGTGACGACAGGTAATTGTTTAAATGGGGGATTGTGTGCCTCTCTCCAGTGTTCCCCACAACCAAGAGGGCAAATGGCCAGTGGAGCAGTGTTGTCTTTTTGCTCCTTCCAGCTTGTTTCTCTTGGAATGATTTTCCTGGGGAGGGAGAGAACCCAGCAGCACAGCTGGTTTTTGAGAGGGTGTGCTTATCCCTCACCTACATGCCACTGTCAGATGATTTGAATTGTTAAAACTGATGCTCTGTGAGGTATGACAGTTAATAGCATGTTAGAGTTCTGATGGCAGTTTCTGTTAATGGATAAATCTTATTCCATCCCAGTATTTTTAAATAATCATTTGCTCCTCATTCACAGGTTGTCTTGATGATGATACATTCATCTATCTTAATGGTGAGTTGCTTCTAATACTGTGGTAAATTAACATACTTGTGAACCCATTATCCAAAGGATAAGTTATCATGGGGCTTTTTGGATTCCAGAGCCCTGACTGACTCATACAGATTTCTGGTTCCTCTTATTCCTTGTAGTGATGTTTCTTAATCTCTCGTCTTTCTTAGATGCCCATTGATTTGCCCAGGGTTGAACTTGTGGAAAGCCTTGTAAGTGGTGAGTACTTATAACTTGGTTGTAGCTTGCCCCAGAGTATAGTGCCAGTGAGGAGAGCAAATATCCTGTCTTAACCCAGTTCTAGCCTCAGAGCCAGTAATGGTGAACCCACTGAGGTTAGCTGGGAGAGAGGATGAGAATTTGTTCCATAAGGAACTGTCTGAGGTACAACAAATGGCTGAAGATGCATTTGCTTAGTTTTTCTTAGCCCATCCATCTGTTAACCGTAGCCAGAACAGCTCTGGCTGTTTGAGATATTTTACTAATTACATGCTCTCATTTAGGAGCAGTTTGTTCCTGTGTGCTACTGAAAAGCTTCCAGAGTTGAAAGGTTAGTTGATTAATGTCTGGCTTATGCCACCAAGTAGTCAGTTTCTATGATGAATCAAACTAGCTCACTATGACATACATAATGAAAACGTTTGAACACCTGAGAAACTGGGGAAGATAGTGGGGGGGGGTACCCTGTGTAAGGAACTTGGAACTTTTATCACCCACAGCTTTCTTTCCCCAGGTTTTGTTACCAGTAACCTGCTTGTCCACTCAAAGGTGAGTGGTTTTCACATGTGTTAGCACACAGCATGCTGGGGAGAAACATGCCTTTTTAGGCTCATTTATGATGACTTACATGGAATCTCGTTCGGCTGATGACTTGCTGTTGAGACTCGGAAATCTGATTTTCTAGAAACTGCGGTGGGAACAACTAATGCAGGAAGTGAGCATAATAAATAAGCCTTGCTGACTCAGTCTTTGTTTTAGGTCCAGCACCTTCTCTGGAGCCCAAGAATGATTTGAGGTAAATCCCTTTACAACACTTTCAATCTATGGCTGCTATATAAAAATTTTCAGTTTTTATGTATGGCTTTTTGACCTGGATACCTGTGCAAAGACATGAACCCATTGGCTTAATCCAGAGTTTGTCTCAGACCATTCCTGAATGACTCACAATGATGAGTTCAATACCGCCCCAGTCTGATCACTGTGACTGAAAGGTATTTTCTGAGCTGTGAGCTTGCCTTGGAGTGAAAAGTGACAACGGGAAATTGAGTAGGCTTTACAGCCAATAGGAAGTTCTTTGGACTAGTTGATGGTTCCTATAATATGTGTGTGTTAAAACCTGCACAGCCCATACCAGGTGTGCCTTTCCCCCAGGAACAGGGACTCCTAGGGCTGGTTAAAAGACTAGTTCCCATTCTTTTGCAGGGAAAATGTAAGCCATATTTCTTCTGCTCCACTCCAGTCTGAAGTTAGAGGTGAGTAAACTTAAATGCAAGGTGTGGGCCAAGCTAAAATATCCCAGTGAGGAGACATTCACACGTCTTACCTCTTGTCTTTGTCCCAGAGCCTGTAAAGGTGAACCCACTGGGGCTGGCTGGGGGAGAAGAGGAAAGTTTGTTCCAGAAGGAACTGTCTGAGGGATCATAAGTATTTCTAAACACGGGAAAGGGAGGATTAAATCACCTATTAAAATATTGTATCTCCCCCCCACCAGGTCTAAAGAAAGAACAAAGTATGTTTAATGGTAAGTATCTGCTCACATATTGGTGATGATTATTTAATATAGACATAATAGCTTAAACAGAAAAGCCATCTAGAGGTGTAAATTGATTTAGAGGTCAGCCCCTAATAAATCATAGTGAATTTTCTTTCCCATGTAATAAGAACTTTTCTTTTTCTCTACAGGAATTTAACTCCTGGAAGACATCAAAAGGAATTTTCAAGTCATTTCTTGTACAAACTAGCAGTTCAGATTAGCATATGATCATATGTCTTTGTAAATAAAATGGTTTTTTAATCTTCACTGTGATTCATGTGTATGAGTGGGTCTAGCTGTTCACCAAAATAGGTGGCAACTTCCAGGTTATCTTGCAGTATACAATTGGCATCAAACATGTATCTTGATCTTCGTGCACCATTACGTCTGAGCAGAAAATGTGCAAATGGCTACTTGAGAGTTTAGTTTCCAAATGGGTTGCGTGTCCCCACACAAACCCAGTGTTTTCAGTTCTGTTCATGTGGCCCTGGGCAAGCTGGCTTTGGGGACGAAGAGGGCAGTGGCACAGTGCATGGGGGAGGGGTCGGTGCGGGGGGAGGGTGGATGTGTATGGTTAGGTCAGTGATTCTCAGTCTAAAGCAGCCCTGTGGTTTTCTAAACCTGGAGGCCGAAATCTGCATGGTTAATGTATACATTACTCCCCACCCCACCCCCATGCAATTTTGGTGTAAGGTCTCAGATGATCACCCTGAAACATTTCTCAAACGATTTGACAGGATGGATACCAAGTGGTGATGCATTAAGGGATTCCCACCTACTTTAACATTTACACACACATTGCTTAGTCATCTGGGGGGTTGGTTCCAAAATCCAAGAAGGCTCAATTCCTTTATATAAAATTTATATAATATATATATATACACATTGTGTGCGTGTGTATATATATATATATAACCTATGCACACTCAGCTTTGCATCTCTAGATTACTTAATGCCTAATACAATGTAAATACTGTATAAGTAGTTGTATTGTTTGAGGAATGACGTCTGTATTCAGAACAGATAGAACCATCGTAGACCTAACTACATAGTACATGTCAGTAACATTTTACTTCCATCTGCAATTGGTTTAATCCATGGATGTGGTGGGCCAACAATGCATTTAGTGTCAACTATAGTACAAGAAAGGCAACTGAAAAGACTTCAGTGGTAGCCACGCAGATGTGAGTTATCAGTAATACAGCCACTAGAACTGGAGGGTTAGTCCTGAAAGATCAAGAAAAGACCCATGCCAGGACACGGGGTCATCAGCATTTAAAGATGGGACAGGAACCTGCAGAATTGGTAACGGGGAGAGAACATGCCCAACATGGGATGAATGGTGTGTCAAAGCTCCAAAGAGGTCAGAACTAAGACAAAATGACGGCAAGCAGGTGTGTTGAGCTTTAGCTACAGACCACTGTGTATTCCCTCCTCCTGCCCTGTCACCACCCCTGAGAAGAATGTGCCAGAAGCACCCTCAGAGGAAACGGGCAAGGAAAAGAATCAAATTGCCCATTTTCACAGAAAATAGCAGGGGAGGAAAGTCAAGTCGCCGAAGTCCCAGGGGCTTAACCATCAGAGCAGGCTGTTCTAGGAGTTGATGCTGCAACTCAAACCCAGATCCAGGAAAAGTAGCAAGAAAGTGATGGAGCCAAAGCTAGACCGAGGCTGGCACAGGGGCCGGGCAGGATCCGCTGGAAGTGTGTGGTAGACAATGAAGCCTTGAACACTTCTTTTGGCAAATGAGGAATTTAAGGCCTAAATTAATGGCTACCTGGGCTAAGAAATTTTAAAAAGGTGAAATGAACAATATGGAGAAAAGGGAGAAGCGCCAGAATGAGACCTGGCTTCTCACTGTCCATCTGCACGCTGATGACAGGACTGCGGCATCTCTGGCCTGGACTTCCCTGAACTCCAAGTGCAGCCAAGCACCCTTGACCAACCCACCTGTTATCCAGTCAGCCATTCAGATCTTTGATTCTCTGTCCCGTCCATCATGTCTGCTGCCTAGTCTTCCCACCTCAGTTAGTGGTAACAGCACCAACAAGCTGCTCCATCCCAAACCCAGCAATGTGCTCGCCAGAAGAACCAAGGCCTTGCCCTTGCCTTTGGGTTACATTTGAGAAGAGGGAGAGGCAAAATAAGACAGCCAGCAAATAAGATTATTTGCAATAGCACAGTGGATCTCAACCCAGGGGGATTATGGCTCCCAGGAGACATTTAACCATGGCCCTCTTGGACAGCTCTTAGAAGGGCCTGCCACAAAGCCCCTAGGAACTTCGGATTCTGTTCCTCCACTCAGCGTGGCCTCTTCTTAGGTGTTTGGACACCTTCAGTCAGATTTTCTGTCTGAGGGCTATGGTTGTACACTTGTAGATTAGCAGATGGGTTTCATGAGACCCTAAGAATCCCTCCAGAAATTGTAGGTAAAATCATGTAAGACAAATGCACATTTATTTGGGGAAGGCTTTCAACAGATTCTCTGAAGGGTGGAGGGCTTAAAAATTAAAAACCTCATTAAAAATTAAAAACCTCATTAAAAATTAAAAACCTCATTAAAAATTAAAAATCTCAAGTTGACCAGGCACTTTGACCTGTTTCATATTGTGTTGGTTTTTATGTCTTTCTCAAGGATGCCAAAAACTAGGAAGTCAAAAATTGTTCCATCGATTAGTATGGAAGAAAGTACCATTAAAAATAAAAACAGCTTAAAGAATTAAAAGGAGGATATAAATTGGAGACAGTTTCTGTAAGCCTTTGAACACTACTTGTTAATTGATAAGTTTCATGAAAGTAAAACATTTAATTACAAAAATTACACGTGCCCATTAAAAGATTATTCTCCCCTTGGACTCGCTTTGCCTGTCACCAAAACCAGTCATTTTCTGTGAACTTTTCCGCTTCTCTCCACCTCTGCCGCCATAGCCACCTTCATCTCCTGCATGGAGTCACAGGAGCCTTCTCCCAGTTTTCCCAGTAGACTATAAACATCGTGAAAACAAGATCCATGTCTGATTTCGTCAGTCATTGTAGAGTGCCTGTTCGATAAGCATGGACAAATGGCTTTCCACGGAGCAAATGTATTTTCAAATTCTTGTGGACCCCTCACCATCAGCCTGCAATACTCATGCAGGAAGAGGCAGGGATAATAGGAAGAGTGGGGAAGCCACTCCCCCACTTGTCTGCTTCAAAGAAGGAACAGGCTACTGCCGACTGCGGGGGAGCCCCAACTGGGGATCTACCCACCCAGAGATGGGATGCTTATCTGTAGCCTGGGCAGAAGGGCTAAAGCCTACTCAGCTGGAAGGCTGTGGCTTGCCCCAGTTTGGGTCTTGCAGAATTTGGAGAAGGTTGGGATTGAAAGATACTGAATTTCGCTTTTGTCCTTGTGTTAGTTTTTTTACTGCTGTTGTAACAAATTACCACAAACTCAGTCATTTAAAACAAATTTATCTTACACTTTTGGAGATCAGAAGCCTCAGATGGGTCTCGATGGGCTGAAATCAAACTGTCTCAGCAGGGCTGCATTCATTCCTTTCTGGAGGCTCAGAGAGAATCATTTCTCCACCTTGTCCAGCCTTTAGAGGCCCCCCTGCAATGACCCCTTTCCATCTGCAAAGCCAGCAAGAGCTCACTGAATCCTTCTCATGCTGTATCGCTCTGACCCTCGAGTCAGCTGCCTCCTTCTATCTTGTATAAGGACCTCTGTGACCATACCAGAGGGGCCCACCAGATAATCCAGGAGAATCTTTCCTCAAAATCCTTAATTTAACCACAACTGCAAAATAACTTTTGCAACATAAGGTAACACATTGACAGGTTCTGAGAATCAGGACGTGGGCACCTTTGTGGGGGGCATTATTCTGCCCACCACACTCCCCTTGATTCAGCCCTTCCCTGGAGGCTCTGGGTTTACTCACCAGAACCTGCAGAAACTGCTTCTATTTATTATCATCAAGACACAGAACTAAGAAACCTTGATCCCTTCTCTAAAGTCATAGATTATCAAAAATTTTTTTTTTTTTTAGTTGAGGCAACCTTTGGTTGACCTCACAGACTGCAAGGACCTTGTCAGTTTATAATCCCTTATTTTTTTTATTTTTTACGCCTACAGCCCCCGATTTTCCTAGGTGGTCTCTCATCCAAGTACTAACCAGGCCCTACCCTGCTTAGCTTCCGAGATCAGACGGGATCGGGCGTGTTCAGGGTGGCATGGCCATAGACGATTATCAAAAATCTTGCTAGTTGAAATCACATCAGTGAGAACGAGAGAACCCACTCTTGCCTAAAGGATCTCAGCCGTCCTTGTATCTTTGACACAGAAACACGGCCTCTGCTTCCAACCCAGCTGGAGAGTTTCAGTGAAGGAAGGTTTCCAACAGAACGGTCCACACTTATATTGAGAGTTTCCAAGAAAATAGGACCACAAGTCCCTTTTCAGCCAGGGCCTTTCATAGAGCTGGGCTTTGCTTTGAGCCTATAAAAGAACTGCTTATTTAAATTAACTACACTGGCCTCGGCTCCTCTCCTCCGCCGCTGGATCCTGGGTTTAGGAATCAGGAATGTCTGAAGAAATGTTCTTTCTCAGGGCATCTGTTCCCCTCTGGGAAGGGTCAATGGTGGCTGATGGATGTTATAAACAGCAAAGTGTAAGTGGGGTGGGGGTGGATGTGACAAGTCGGAGGCGGGAGAGGCACAGAAGGGAACCGAGAACCCCAGGATGCGAGAGAAACGCAGTCCTAAATGCCAGCCTTCACCGTGTGCCCTCAGTTCTCACAACCACCCCTTAAGCGCGTGTTCTGATTCTCCCACTTAACAGAAGAGATAGGAGCCTACGCAACGTGCCTCATGTCATCAAGTCAGGAACTGGCGGGCAGGGATCCCAACTCAGCAATGTGGATTCCAAAGCTGGTGCTCGGGAACTGAGGGCTGTCCAGATGTGTCCTGGCCGCCGCTCGCCGCAACCTCACCTAACACAGACCACCACCCGTCCGCCGCTAGAGGGCGCCTGAAAGCCTTCGGGCTGGGAGACTAACGCCACGGTTTGGGAGAAAGAGACCTTGCAGGCATTGAAATCACGACTTGTAGGTGGACCAATCCCAAGAATGGAAAAAAGCGGAGGGGCGGGTTTACGCAAAATACAACAAGCCCGTGAGCTGGCAGGAGAAGCAGTTAAAAAAAACCCTGTTTAAGGTCTGTTTTAGAGAATCTAGTTATAATTTTAAATAAAATAATAAGAAATTGAGTTTAAGAAGGATTGCCCTTTGAAAAAGAATCTAACTGTTAGTCCATTAAAGTCACCACAACCGTAAAAGCAGTCGTAAGGGTAAGGCCGTCCAGGAGCGGAGAACGGTGGTATCGCTTCTCGGCCTTTTGGCTAAGATCAAGTGTAGTATCTGTTCTTATCAGTTTAATATCTGATACGTCCTCTATCCGAGGACAATATATTAAATGGATTTTTGGAGCTGGGAGTTGGAATAGGAGCTTGCTCCGTCCACTCCACGCATCGACCTGGTATTGCAGTACTTCCAGGAACGGTGCACCCCCATTCGGGGGAATAATGGTTGTATGAAGAAAAGATCTCGTGACTTGTTAGCGATAATGCTTTCGAAAGTTGTGGAAGTTAGCTGTTTTTTTAAGTTTCATTTTCGCCTTGAGTTGCATAATCGAGTGATGTAATGGGGTTGGAATAATAAACTTTTTACAGAAAAAGAGAAGTTTATAATGCTTGAGCGTTCACGGTAGGCTGGTGAGTGTAAGTCCGTCAGCGTTAATTAAACCCCAGTTGTGTTCCTGAATTTATGACGAGGAAAATGGGACAACAGGCGATGGTTGGATCTCTCCCTTCTCCCCGCGCCAAAGTTACAGGATTTTAGGG